AAGCCAACCTTTTTATAAGGAGAAGAAAGGGTAGGTAAAGAATGGAGAAAAGGTTAATCAGTTAAGAGTTGCAGTCCAGAGGCGATTTTCCTAGTACTTCTTTATCTGTTCAACAATATTTTTTTATCTGTTCCCTCCTTGGAACACAATGGCTCACGTACCATCTCCATCGCTTGCAGACCCACCTTCCCTCCGCAGTACAGAAATGGTGAATTGCTTGTCAACTTCTTGGAGCCTTGTGGTCATGCATTCCAGTTCCTGGAATAACAACCTTCCACCTGTGTTAATCACTTAGGCCTATCAACTATGACTGAAGCTAAAATCTTTAACTCTTGAGTTCCAAGTTCCCCTATCACAATCACTCTCCCAATATCATCCATGGTGCACTGTTGGAACCCAAGGATCTTCTTATGGGCCATTAAATGATACAAGCAAGCAAGTCATTTCTTCAGTTCCCATGAAAAAATATGTAACTCACAATTTTATGTTTTTATTGTCACATAGAACTAAGGCTTGTGTATTAGGGAACTATGAAGTAAGATATTAGGGATTACTAATGTTTAGAATTCATAAATTAAAATTAGCACCTTTTTCAAGTTCATCAAGACTGATTATTCATAATTTCTATGCACAACATTGCAAAGCTCCTGTTATATATACTTGAAAATAATGAAATTTCTAATTTTGGGAGAAGGATGTTAATAGTGATAAAATAACAAGTTTTTTGAAAAATGTATAAGGTAGTATTTGGAATATAAAAATCATATGAATGAGATCAAATTCTTCCCTTGAAGGTAAGTTTAATAAGCAATTCCCAGTGTTCCTTTCCATTTATTTACTGTTACTGAGTTACTTTTTCCCTACCACCCTCCCCCCACAAAAAGGAGGGATTTGGGAATGAAATACATGTGACATGGTAGGTCTTTTGCAAACTCTTTGTCTTTAGCCAAAAGAGTGTGAGAACAAATTGCCTAGGTTTAATATTGAAGATTTTCAATCACAAGGTTTTTAATCAGAAAACCAGTGAATGCTATTAGAAGCAGTGACAACAACCATGTGATAAAAATACAAATCTGCAAGAATTATTTGAACCCTGGCTGGGTAGTTCAGTTGTCCTGATACACCAAGGTTCCAGGTTTGATCCCCAGTCAGGGCACATGCAGGAATCAAATGGTGAATGCATGGATAAGTGGAAATAGATTGATGTCTCTCTCTCTCTCTCTCTCTCTCTCTCTCTCTCTCTCTCTCTCTCTCTCTCTCTCTCTCTCTCTAAATCAATAAATAACATTGAAGAAAAAAATATATTTTAACTTGAAATGCAGAACCTCCCAAAGGCCACTCCACTTATGTTTCTTGAAACACTCAATAGATTACAGAAAAGGAAGTACCCAAAATGAGATTTTAAATTAGTGTACATTTCATTTTTTCTTATTTTTAAGGATTTTATTTATTCATTTTTAGAGAGGGGAAGAGAGAGAGAAAGAGAAAGAGAGAAACATCAATGTCAGAGAGAAACATAGATCAGTTGCCTCTTGAACCAGGGACTGAACCCACAAACCTGGCATGTGCCCTCACCAGGAATCGAACCAGCGACCCTTCACTTTGTGGGACGATGTCCAATCAACTGAACCACACGTCAGGGCAAATTGGTGTATATTTTTAAAGCTTAGATAACACATTCAATGCATATTGACGAAATACAACAAAATGTAATCATACCACTCATAAAGCTACTACAGGACTTATTTAAAATGTTAATGGATTTGAAAACTAAGATAGTATAGTCCAGTAATGGATATACATTTAAAGTTGTTTGATGTTCTTCTGTCTTAGGTCAGGTTCCTAGAAGTGAACCTTGGGATGAAAATTTGAGCACCAATGATCGACTAAGGAAGGGCTTCCTGGAGAAAGCTGCCAGGGAGGGAGAAGGTCAGGGAAGAGCGAGAGGCACTGCAGGGCTGTGCTTTGGAGGAAATGCCCACCCGCCCCAGCCTGATTCACAGGGAGCTGTGGAGTGGGTCAGGCTGGAGCCAAGGAGCTGAGCTTTCCCGCTCCTGTACCAGTGATGGTGGCAGAGAAGGGGAGGAGGGGCAATCACAGGCGCTTCTGGCTTTGAAGGGCTCAAAGCAGCAACCCTAGCCTCAGGCAACCTCAGAATAAACAATCACTGTGCAGGTAGTTAGAAGCAAAATGCATAGACACCAACAGAAGAGCACACACATATGGTTCAAGGACCCAGCGGGGTCTGGGCACAGCTGCAGTATCCCCCTACATCTGTGTTTGCCACCCTTTGATCTTGTCAGAGTATCTCTGCAGATGATATTAAACATCTACTTTTGAGGCTCTTCATGAAGGTGAGGGTTCATGCAGCTCCTCCAAGTGACCATGCCTAGTCCTAGCACTTTGGAAACTAGAACGACGAAGAGGATCCCACCACATTCTGTGCATTCAGGGAAACCGCCAAGAGTTAGTAAAGCAGCAATCTTCCTAAAAATCTTTTGACACATCCCAGTTTCACCACCAAACTTTTTTTAAATTAAAGTTTCTACTTTAAGAAAATTGTAGATTCACACGCAGTTATAAGAAATAATACATAGAAATCTCCTGTATGCTTTACCCAGCTTCTACCAATGATAACATCTTGAAAAACTGGTCCAAGATCACATCTAGGATATCCACATTGATGCAGTCAAGATTTGAAACAACCCCATCACGAAAGGACCCCTTGTGTTGCCCTTTTCTCATTGTATCCACTTCCCTCCTTCCTCCTACTCCCTCCTTAACCCCAATCTGTTCTCCATTTTTATAATTTTATCATTTCGACAATGTTATACAAATGTAGTTCTAGTCCTGACTGGTGTGACTCAGTTGGTTGGACATCGTCCTGCAAGCCAAAAGTTTGCAGGATTGACTCCTGGTCAGGGCACATGGTTGCCTTGTGGGTTTGGTCCCTGGTCAGGGCACATAGGAGGGGCAACCAATCAGTGTTTATTTCCCTCTCTCTCTCTTTCCCCCTTCCCATCTCCCCCTTCCCTCCCCCCCCAAAAAAAAGCAGTGAAAAAATGTCCTTGAGTGATGCAGACACTGGCCCACAGTGTCCGAGGCATTATGGATGAGATGAGATAAATTCACACAGACTATAGAAGTCCTGTGGAGAAACAGGGATGACACGGCGGCTCTCTCCGTGAAAGAGGGCTGGCCTTGTCCTTGTCTGGACAGGCTGTTATTGCTTTTCTGGGCACATTACATTGAGGACGGTCCTCATCTACTATGCATAGGTTCACTTTAGGTGGTTACCTATTACAGAAAATAAAGGAGAGGATGTTGCTAATTACATCAAAAAAGAAGGGGATTTGCAAATGTAAAGGGAAAAGTGGTTGAACTGGTTACACTCATCCTTGGAAGGTTTAGCACAGATTTTAGGAAGTTACTTTAAAGATACGCAGTAAATGTTTGCTGCCTCAATTCAGGGTGAGAGAGTTTTGGCAAAAAAGCAAGTCTCAAAGCAGCCTAGGTACAATGCAGGCCTGATTCCCCACAGGAGAACCTATCTGTGGGCGTGAGTCCTATGTGCCGGACCTCGCTCCCCACTGGCCTTTCCGAATGGGAGCTGGGCTACATTTCCCACGCGACGCAGAACAGTCTCCTATACTTAGGTGAGAGTAAAAAGATGTAGGTCGAAAGTATGTAAATTTTTAAGATTAGCATTTTTTGCTCTGCATAAATCTCTGGAGATTTGCCCAAGTTACTGGGTGTATCTGTATCTCATTCCTTTTTATTGCTGAGTAGTACTCCGCAGTATAGATGTACCACAGTTTGTTTAACCATTCACCTGGGAACATCTGGGTTGTTTCCAGTTTTAGGTAGTTAAAAACAAAGCTACCATGGACATTCCTGTAGAAGTTTTGTGTGAACATAAATTTCCACTTCTCTGTGATCAATGCCGGAAGTACAATTGCTTGGTTGAGTATTAGCTGCATGTGTAGCTTTGTAGTAAACCACCAAATTCCTTTCCAGAGTAGCTGTACTGTTTCACATTCTCACCAGGAATGTGTGTTTGATCCATTTACACCACATCCTAACCAGCAGTTAGTGTTGTTACTAATTTTTCATTCTATCCATTCCGATAGGTATGTAGTACTATCTCCTTGTGATTTTAATCTGCATCACCCTACTGGCTAAAGATGTTGAACATATTTTCCTGTGCTTATTTGCCATCTCTCTGTCTTCAGAGGAATGTCTGTGGGGTTTTTCTTTTTTTTTTTTTTGGTCCATTTTCTAATCAGACTTTCTACTCTTAAGTTTTAAAGTTTTTTTAATATATTCTAGATATTAGCCCTTATTCAGACATGTGGTTTGCAAGTATTCTCAGCCAGTCTATTGCTTGTCTTTCATCCTCTGAGCAATCTCTCATAGAGCAAAAATTTATCATTTTGATAAAGTGCAATATACCAATTTTTTTCCTCTTTTTTCCAGCTTTTTAAAAATAGATCATGTAAAGTCTAAGAACTCTTTGCCTAGCCCTATATCCTGAAGATATGTTTGGCCCCTATGTTTTTCTTTCTTAAAGTTTCATAGCTTTACATTTTACATTCAAGTCCATAATGCATTTGAGTTTGTGTTTATGCAAAGTGTGAGGTCCGTTTTTTTGCCCAGATGTCCAGTTGCTCCAGCACCATTTGCCCAATGGCCCGGCATCCCACTTTGGGAGCCGCCATGACTGGCTGAGTCCCTCCACCGTAGGCCGAGGCTCCGGAAAAGCAGCCCTTCCACACAGCTCGCTCACCTTCTGTTACTGTCCTCCTCTCACCCTTCACCGCCCGCACTGTGCCCTCCCCTGTGGTCTCCCACACTCTGCCCACACCTTTGCAAAACAGAGTCCCTTTATTAAAATATCAAGTTACTCAGTTTAAGGGAGCCATCTGTTTCCTGCCAGGACCCCGACACATCCTACAGATGACGAATTTTCCCAGTCCCAAACAGCAGACACGTACTGTCAATTGTCACAAAGTAATACTCATTTATTTTTTGAAAAGTCATTTACAGGTATTTATAGGCAAAACAATTTCCACTTGAAGACCAATGAAGATAAGAGTGTGTCATTAAAATAGCATGCAATCCAACAATTCCCTTGTTGTTTCTTTTTGTTCTAACTGGGTCTGTGGCATTTGTAAGTGCAGTATTTGCTCATCCAAGTACTGTACAATACAGCCAAATGCAGACTATCTGCATGTACTGCTCTCGGCATTTACACTCCCCGAATCTATTTGCATCAGGAATTCTTTCTTGCCCTCCAGTTTCCACCACTCAGCCAGACCAAGACCATAGCCTCTTCTGTCTCTGATAAAGGTGATTAGATCGCCCATGAGTTTCTATGATCTATTACTCTCCTAAAGTATATGGAAAATTGATGAAAAATACATTATTTCCTAGTTGTACAAAAGGAAACAGACCTGTCTAAGAAATTAATAGCAGAAGGAATAAAATCATAAACCTTTTCATAAAAATATTAGAGTTCAGTATGCTAGATTTCTGGTTACTCCTATCCAAAAGAATATTCCCATATCTTATTCAAAACGTAGCAAATATATCACAGTTACAAATGTTAAGTTGTGTCTACATAGCCAAAATGAAGTGGAGTTAAGGCTGTAGTCCAGGCAGCTCAGGATAAAAAAGCTCTCTACAGCAGTGGCCGTATCTCTGTATGCAAAGGCAAGTAAAGGGCTGAAGTGGTTTTCTGCTGCTCGAAACCACCAAACCCATGTCTACCATGTTTACTTATATTCTTCCAAAGTGTCAACGTTTTTGACCGAAAGACTTGGGGTGCCTGCTACCTGAATGTTGATCTCAGCTGTGCCCTTCATTTTGAGCACAGACACAGACTAAAGGAAAATACTCAAGTTTTCACCTCAACTATACAGACTGGTAATCAACACTGACCCCTACTGAACAGAAATTTTGCTGTTTACAGACTCTTACCACGTTAGGGCTGAAAGGGACCCCTGAATCCACCCAGCCCAGCTCTCTCTTCTGGTAGAGGAGGAAGCTGCAGTGCAGACAGCATCAGCTCCCTCCGCACGGGGACACTGCTGACAGCCAGCCCGGGGCTTCTCCCTGCACAACGCGGCACTGAGCCTCCTGCCGGTGTGTCTCCAGGTGGCGACCTTTCCAAATGTTTCATTTCCTGTTTCTCCCTCCTGCATTTTGTATGTTCATATTCTAGAGAAGGTGATACGGATTCATGTAGGTGAGGGAGTATCATTCCGTCGCAGCCAACCAGAAGGGGATCTCCACATATTTTCAAATAAATTCAGTAGTAATTTTTAATAGTAATGAACCAATTTGGATATTAAATATGAAGAACACTGGTTTGTTTTCCATCTTTTAAATGCCTGTACTCTAGCTATTTTTGGTGGGGAAGAGGGAAGAGGGAGAAATATGACGGAATCAGAAATGGCTGACAGATTTGGCCTCTTCAGCTGGTCACATGCTGCTTACAGTCCAAGGAGCAAAAACTGAGAAATACTGGGCCAGACAACTTGGGCCGCGACCGTTTAGCCAGCAGCAAATGGGACAGGCCAATGAAACAGACCAACGCTTTCAGTGGCTTCTGATTCGATTCCATTGGCAGACACAGTCCAAATTCAATGTTAAATTTATTTTAACATTGCAGTGAAAGTGCTACTGAACAGAAAATACAATAAAGTCAAGCAAATTGCTTCTAATTTTTGTAACAATGAAAAACATTTTTTGGCAAATGGTTCTGTAGTTATAGAACATGAAGACTCATAACTAATCTCCCCAATATGAAAATGTCCCCAAATTATCAAGTTAAAAGGCACATACCACTGCCCCAGCAGTTCGTCAAAGTTGTCTTTAGCATGTGAAATTTTAATTGTGCTTTTAGCTTGTTATTAATGCAATATGGCCTTAAAAAGTGACATCCGTGCACATGTATAATCTGTTTTCAAATGGACCAATCCTCTTCCCCTTTTCTGATGATCAAGTTTTGTTAGTCCATGATGGTCTCGAAGAGATGCACTTCAAAGTTTGTGTTCTATTTCATCTGGAAACCACGTTTGAATTATCCTTGTGTCCTACCACAAAACGGATTTTCTTGAATTATCAGCATGATGGTATTTTATGTTATCATTTGTTTAAATGCAAAAGTCCTGGAATATTATCTTTTCTCACTGGTTGTTTAAGGCTTACTTCACTTCCAGAAGAGATAATTGGCAAACTATTATCCATGTGGTATCTGATGAGGTGGCCAACGTTATCAAATACGTGATCCTTGGTCCTCACCTTGAAAAGGAAGATGAAAGGATTTAGGTTAAATGATAACAGTTCTCCTGACAGGGGAAAAACCAGGGGGGGAAAACAGACATATCCCTGAAGGAGACAAGGGAGATGAGAGAGGTGGGAGAGAGAGGGAGGGAGAGAGAGTGAGAGGAGGGAGAAGGAGAGAAACAGGGAAAGAGGAGGAGGAGAGGGAGAGATAGAGAGAGAGGAAGAGGGAGAGGGCAGGGAGAGGGAGGGAAGAAGAGAGGGAGGGAGGAGGAAAAGGTACTTCTTAACTTGGTATCTTCAGCAAACAATTTTTCATTCCCCCAAACCTTTTAAAGCTAGTATCCCTCCCAGTTGGGGAAATGATAAGCACTTGTCACCCAATCCAAATCTGCAGTCAACTTCTTTCCCACATTACTGTTGGACATATTTGTGTCACCATTCCTGTAAATATTTAAGTGGGTTGTATACAAGTATGAATCTCAGAATTACAATCAAATCCCATCAAGCAGAGTGCTTTCATAATATCCTGTCTGTGTAGGAAGGAGGCCCTTCTGGAAAATTCCCACCTCTCTGTGGAGACTCAACACAAACCCTGTGTCCTCCAAGAAGCCTCCTCAGACCTTTCTAATTGGTATCTATGTCTCTTTCTTGCAGACTTCCTGGTCGTAATTCATAAATATTTGTTACATAGAATTTCTGGTCTGTATGCCAAAGACACTCAGTTGCCATAGGCCTGGCTTCTCCTGAGAACTTTCCTCCCTAGGATTATTATATCCTCACCCTAGGCCTGGGCACAAGACATTGCTTTCCATTATGGCTCCACTGGCTCAGTAGCCTGGCCTAACACACTCCTGTTTGGAGGTGGCTGGGAACTGCCCAGGACAGGGAAGGCGTGCAGTCAGGTGTTCTACCACCTCCCGACAAGGGATTCTGAGTGCTGTCTAGATACTGGTTTTCAGAATGTTAAATACACACACTTATTGGAATAACTGGCCAGATTTCAGTATGGACTGTGAATAACAAAATGGTATTGTATCAATGTTTTAATTTCTTGATTTTGGTCAATGTACTATGGCTATGTAAGAGAACATCCCTATTCTTAGAAAACACACACTGGAGAATTCAAAGAAAAAGGGCACGATGTCTCCAACTTACTGTCGAAAGGCTCCACACCTGGCAGAGGTTCTGTCTCTTCCGTCTCATCCCCGACCCAAGTCAAATTAGTTGATCAGTCCTGCCAGTCTGCGTTGGCAGTACCGCAACCTGGCCTCTCCTCCGTATTTCCCCTGCCTCCATCTGGTTCAAACTTTCACTAGTTTTCACCTAGAATCCCCCAATTACTTCCTCCACCCCTGATCTTTCCCCTTCTCTCTCATTAATCCTGCATACAAATGCCAAATTAATTTTCCTACGTCAAGGATTATAAACTAACCACTCTGGCCAAACACCCCAGGAGATGTTTTAGTTTCCTGGGAAGTAAGGTGGAAGGTGCCCAATAAGTTCTTAAGTGAAAAATGGGGACATTCCATATACAATCTGGTTTTGGGGTTTCTTTGGAAAAACCAGATCTGGCTCTACTGGCCCCTACTCCAAGTGGCAGCAACTGACTGGAGCCGAGCTGTGACTGTCCCCCTTACACGGGACATGCACTTTCCAGTGCGTTACAGCCCTCCACCTGCTACACTCACCCCATGACTTGCCCAGCTTTATGCACTTAGTGTACTCTCCAGGCCCTGCAGGTATTAGCTGCTGTGACTCCAGACACACAGGCTTTATGGGTGTGTGTGGTGACAAACAGGTGACAGAATTACCTTCTTAACAAAATTGTAAGTGTACACTGTACAGAAACATCTCATTTTACTGCACTTCACTGAGCTTTACGCATATTGCATTTTTTATACATTGAAGTTTTGTGGCAATCCTGTGTCAAACAATTCTACCGCCACCATTTTTCCAACAGCATTTGCTCACTTCATATCTCTGTATAACATTTTGGGAATTCGCACAATATTTCAAACGTTTTGTTATTATTTTATCTGCTATGGTGACCTTTGATGTTACTTTTGTTGTCTGGGGGCAACATGAGCCAGACCCATATAAAACAGAGAACCTAATCGATAAATGTTGTGTGTGGTCTGTCTGCTCCCCGGAAAGGCCATTCCCCTGGGGAATGGGTAAATACCCAGAAATGGGATATTGGAATCATTTGGGAGTAGTATTTTTTTTTTATTTTTTGAGGAAACTAGACTGTTTTCCATAGCAGCTGCACCACTTTATACTCCCATTGACAGTGCACAAAGGCTCCAATTTCTGCCACTGACCCTTGTTCTTTCCTGGTTTTCAGCCAATGGCCATCCTAACAGATGTGAGATGATATTTTACCGTGAATTTGATTTACACTTCTCTAATGACAGTGTGGTTGATGATATACCTGTTGCCATTTGCACATCTTCTTTGGATAAATGTCTTACTCTAGTTGTCTGCTATTTTTAAATCAAGTTACTTGTGTTTTTGTTTTGCTTTTGCTATTGACTTGTAGGAGTTCCCTATATATTTTGAAAACTAATCCCTTATCAGATATATGGCTTGCAAATATTTTCTCTCATTCTGTAGGTTGCCTTTTCACTCTGTTGATTGTTTCCTGTGCTGTGTAGAAACTTTTTAGTGCCATTTGTTATTCTTTGTTTTTGCTTTTTGCAATTGTTTTCTGTGTTTTGGGTGTCATATCCAAGAAATCACTGCCAAGACCAATGTTATGAGACATTTCCCTTATGCTTTCTTGTCAGAATTTTAGAATTTCAGGTGTTACAGTTTAAGTCTTTGACCTATGTTAAGTTGATTTTTGTGTATGGCATAAAGATAAAGGCCTCATTTCATTCTTTTGCATGTGGATATCCAGGGTTTCCAACACCTTTACTGAAGAGACTGTCTTTTCTCCATTGTGTATTCTTGACAACCTTGCCAAAGATTATTTGACCACATATACATAGGTTCATTTCTCGGCTCTCTGTCCTGTTCCATTGGTCTATATGTCTGTCTTTATGCCGGTATGATACTGTTTTCATTTCTGTAGCTTTGTAATATGGTGTGAAATCAGTAAGTGTGATGTCTCCAGTTTTGGCCTCCTTTCAAGATTATTGTGGTTTGGGGAAGTCTTCTGTAGTTTAAAATGAATTTTAGCATTGCTTTTCTATTTCTGTAAAAAAATGTATTGGGGTTTTAATATAGACTGCATTAAATCTATAGATAGTTTTGGGTAGTACAGACATTTCAAGAATATTAAATCTTCCAATCCCAGATAACATGGGTCATCTTTCCATTTATTTGTATCTTCATTCATTTCTTTCAGCAATATTTTGTACTTTTCAGTGTATAAACCTGTTGTATCCTTGGTTAAATTCATTGTTAAGTATTTGATTCTTTTTCAGTGCTACTGTAAATGGGATTGTTTCCTTAGTTTCCTTTTATGATTGCTCTCCATGTACAGAAATCCAACTGGTTGTTGTATGCTGATTTTCTATTATGCAACTTTGCTGAAATTGCTTATTAGTTCTAAGTTTTTAATGGAAACTTTAGGGTTTTCTTCATACAATATCATGTCATCTAAGATCATTTTATTTTTCTTACCTAATTGCTCTGGGTAGTACTTCTAATACTATGATAAAAAAAAAAGAGGTAAGAGTGGGCATCCTTGCCTTGTTCCTGATATTAGAGGGAAAGCTTTTCGTTTTTCACCATTGAATATGATATTAGTTGTGTGTATTATGTTATGGCCTTTACTGGTCTTTGTCCGTTGAGTATTTTTTAATCATGAAAGGGTATTGAATTTTGTCAAGTGATTTTTCTTCATCTATTGAGGTCATCGTGTGATTTTTATCCTTCATTCTGTTAATGTGACGTGTCATGTTGATTTTTATATGTTAAGCCATCCTTGCAATCTAGGGATAAATCCCACTTGGTCATGGTGTATGATCCTCTAAGCACACTGTTGAATTGAGTTTGCTGGTGTTTTCTTGAGGATTTTTGCACCTATGTTTATCACAGATATTACCCTATAGTTTTCTTATCTTGTAGTATCTTTTTTTACTTTTTTAATATCAGGGTAATGCTAGCCCCATAAAAGGAGTTTGAAAGTGTTTCCTCCTCTTCCATTTTTTTGGAAAAGTTTAAGAAGGATTGGCATTAGGTCTTCCTTAAATGTTTGACAGAATCCACAAACATGCCATCTGGTCATGGACTTTCCATTATTGGAAAGTTTTTGATTACTGATTCAATCTCCTTCTTAGTAACTCATCTGTTCAGATTTTCTATTTCTTTAGAATTCCATCTCAGTGGGCAGTGTTTTTATGATTTATCTATTTCTTCTAAGTTATCCAATTTCTTGGCATATAATTCTTCTTGATAATCCTTCATAATGATTACATTTATATGGCATCATTTGTTTGTTCATTTGTTGCTTTTTGTTTTATAGCCCACACATAAGTTAAATCATCCAGTTCTTATTCTTTTCCATTTGACTTCTTTTACTTAATATGATACTCTCAAGATTCATCCATGCTGTTGCCAATTGCCATCAGCTGTAATGTTTCCTCTTTCAGTTCTGATTTTATTTGTTTGGGTCTTCCCTCTGGTTTTCTTAGCTAACTGAGCTAAAGGCTTGTCAATTTTGTTTGCCTTTCAAAAAACCAGCTCAAAGTTTTGTAGGTTCTTTTCTATTGTTTTGCTATTCTCTTTCATTTATTTCTGCTTGAATCTGAATTATTTTCTTTCTTCTGCTAATTTTAGGCTTAGTTTGCTCTTCTTTTTCTAGTTCCTTGATGTGTAAAATGAGGTTTTTTATTTGAGATCTTTGTTTTTTAATGTTGGCATTTATCACTATCAACTTTCCTTCATATTGCTTTTGCTGCATCCCATAGTTTTAATATCATGTGTTTTCATTTTAGTTTGTCTTCAGATATTTTCAAACTTCTCTTTTCACTTCTTCTTTGACTCATTGTTTGTTCAAGAGTATGCTGTTTAACTTAGACATATTTGTAAATATAAAAATTTTCTTTCCATCATTAATTTCTAGTTTCATCCCACTGTGATTGGAAAAGATAGTTTGTAGGATTTCAATCTTCTTAAACTTACTAAGACTTGCCCTAATCTGGTAGCTTAGTTGGTTACATTGTCCCAATACTCTAAGGTTGTGGGTTTTATCATGGTCAGGGCACATACAAGTGTCAACCAATGAATGTCTAAATAAGTGGAATAACACATCAGTGTTTCTCTTTCTCCTTTCCTCTCTCTCTCTAAAATCAATATTTTTTTAAATTTAGTAAGAATTATTTTGTGATCTAACATAGAATCTATCCCAGGTTTTGTGGCCTAACATTAATGTTCCAAGGGTGCTTGAGAAGAATGCGTATTTTGCTGCTTTGGGTAGAATGTTCTGTATATTAGTTTCATCTGGTCTATAGTGTTGTTCAAGTCTTTGGTTTCTTTGCTGATCTTCTATGTGTATGTTCTATCCATTATTGAAAGTGGGGTATTGAAATTCCCTACTAGTGTGATTTGTCCGTCTATTTCTCCCTTCAGTTGTGTTAATGTTTGTGTCGTACATTTGGGTGCTCTGATGTTAGGTGCATATATATTGATAAATGCCATATCTTCCTAGTGAATTAATTCTTTTATCATTATATAATGTCATTCTTTGTCTCATTTGACAGTTTTTGACTTAGAGTCTGTTTTGTCTGATATAAATATAGCCACCCCTGCTTTCTTTTGGTCATCATTTGCATGGAATGTCTTTATTCATCCTTTCATTTTCAACCTATGTGTGTCTTTAAATCTAAACTGAGCCTCTTATAGAAAGCATACAGTTAAGTCTTCTTTTTTATCCATTGAACTGTTCTACAGCTTTTGATTGGAGAGCTTAAACTATTTACACTTAAAGTAATTACTGATAAGAACTTACTATTACCATTTTGGGTGTTTTTTTTTTTTAGTCCAGGATCATTTCTGTCTACAGGCATCCTTTGCCCCAGTCACACATCTTTTATCGGCTTAATGCCATTCCACTGCTCTGTCTGCTCCTGTGGTTCCTTTCCTACACTCCAAATCTGTCCCCCTGTTGTAAGATTTTGCCCTCTTTCAAGGTTCATTTTACATGTCAGACCCTGCAAGAAGCATTTAATTTGTTTAATCTACAGCACTCCTCTATCCTGAGAAACACTGTTATGCTTTGGTTGAACCATCCTTATGTCATTCATTCATATAACTCTTTAAGCATCTATTTTATGAAATTATAAACACCCTGACAGCAAGGACGAAGTATGTAATACTGAGCAACAGTCAACTGTGAATCCCTGTACTTCCACGTAAGTATTTATTTAATTCACTGAATTGAATTGAGAGGAGCAGAAAGAGGTTGTACCCTACTTTACCCCCACAGGGTGGCTCCCACTCACACCCCTCTACTAACCTCTATTTAGGATTTGCTGCTCCAGTTGGAGGGTTCAAGAAAAAGTAAACCCTTAGCCTTGAACACTCTTTAACAAGATCAGATTTGGGGTCTATCATTCAGAGTAATCACAACACCCTGTAAAGACTCTAATGAGAAGTCAGTACCTTGCCTTCAGGATCCACCAGAAGAAGATGTTTGGCCTGGCCTCCCTGTAGTCCACTCAGCACATATTGGCCAGGAGATGTTGCACTCTCTCGAACCAAAAAGTCCCCATCCTTTACTAAGAGGCTCTCTGCCGCCTTCCTGCTCAACTTGCCATGGTAGCAGTCTTCATCCCGCAGCTGCTGATTAATGTGTGGCAAAGGAAGCGAGCTGGCAGGCTGCGCTGTGGCACCTGGCTGCACAGTTTCTGGTGCTTCTGAAGTCAAAATACAAAGAGACATCACCAAGTCACCTCCTCATCCATCCATTTATTCAATCACTTATTCACTCAGCAAATATAACTTGAGGCCCTACTATGTGCCAGGCACTATTTAAATAATACTGTTGCTGGAACAAATTGGGTTTTTGTTTTCTGAACTTCCAACAGCCTCTAATTTAACGGTACATCCAAACATTGCCTTTGGCTTCTGTTACCAGGAAATGAAAGGCTTATCCAGGTGCAGTAGTTTTTCTTTCAGATGAGACATGGAACTGACCCATGAGAACTGCTTTTATAACCATGGCCAGAGGCTCCTTATGTCCCAGGGGCTGTATGTTGAAGAGAACGAGGCTTATGCTTTATTTGGATTATAGATAACTTCTAAGACTTTCCCAAGCTCTTTGAAAATGCCTAATTTGGGCTGTGCCAATTTTTTAGCATTTAACTTTAAAAATAAACCAAATTACTAATCTGCTTCATAGATGCTTCTAACCAAATACTTCAAAGCTATGCTGAACTCCATAGTATTCCTAGTAAAGGACTACTCCGCTGTTTGTGTCATTCACTTGCCTGGACAAAACAGAGTCAATCAGGTAAAAGAAGGCAAAATGCAGGAAAGCATGGACTGAGCAGCTCCCCAAGGCTCTGCAAAGTAAATGTTACCCAGAGTTGAGAGCACTGGGGGATGACAAGGTACATCCAGGTAGCATTTAAGAATACTAATGATGCTCAGTGATGCTCATTGTTGTATACTTCCCCATTTATTGAGTATGACAAGTACTGCTCAATGCTTTCACATATTATTTTGTTTGACTCTCAAAATTAGATAGGCAAGGAAATGGATCTTTAAAAAAGATTAAATGACTTACCCAAAGCATAGGACTTGCTCCTATGTTGTAGATCTGAGATTTGAAATAAGATAGGACCTCAATGCCAGGTTATTAATCACTACATTCTAAGACCCTTCCTTACCTTGGATGTGAAAATCTTTCCATTTTTACAACTGGCCTAGCCACTCTACTTCTGTAGTACCCACAAAGGTCCTTAGAAGAGAATAAAGCTATCAGGATGACATACAGCATCTCCAGAAGTAAAAATAAAACTTTTATGTCTAAACCCAGGTAAAAGTCATATGTTTATCATGGAAAACTTACAAAAAAAAAACACAGAAATCGGACTTTGTCTTGTCAAATGCAAAGCACCTTTTCCAAAAAAATATTACCTTTCAACTTTATAAATTCAAAGGGCTGTTTACATGTCCTTATGCAAGGGTCTCACAGATGAAAAACCCATGGATTCTGAGTTTACAATTTACACATGACAGTTCTGCAAAGTCACCGACACTGGAAACCAATGCTCTGCAGACATAATCCAGTTCTCTTGTTAATATGTTATAGTTCTGTCCCTGCTTAAGAACTTCTTTCCACATAATACAATTATACTGCAGCATTCACAAATATATCTTTAAAAATATCTTTAGTCTATATTTAGTGTCTATAAATATTCTCCCCTACAATCAAGTCTTTCTATCAGTGCTGGAAAAAGCCTGCAATAATGTGTCTAGATTTGATAAATAACACTTGTGGTTGATCTTAGTGCTGCCTGCTTTCAGGCATAGTGGGGAGCTTCTGATGAGTGGCTGCGTGTGTGTTATGTACGGGAGAGAGAAAGTGTTTGCGTAAGTGTGAGGGAGAAACATGCATGTGTGTGGCACACACCTCTTAGTGCACGATGGCTTTTGGTTTATTCTGATATGATGATGGAGAGCTTTTGGACAAGGACACAACAAAAGAAGAGACAATATATCATCTTGAAAAGAGGTAACAGATCATGGGCCAGCCAAGGATCTGGACAATATTTTCCTAACACAGTTCCCCAAATTAGCAAAAGGACAAGATGCACTGTGCTAGATTTCAATCAACCAAAAATTGGCTGAAAATCTAATTCTACTAAGAGAGAATACCTCACAGGCTTGTGTAAATCTTTGTTTTCATTTAAAAAGTTACACAGGCTGATTCTTTTAAATCTTGGAAAAACAAAGAAAATTAATTACCTATGGTCCTATCACCAAAAATAACCACTCTTAACACGGTGGTGTGTTATCTATTATCTTGGTCCTTTCCTTACAAAAGGTTACTTGGGAAAAGATAATCATAACTGAAATATAGTTATTATATGTAATACCCATACAATATTTAATATCATAATTTGCAATGTATAATGTGCATGTTTTTGCCCAAATTTTTGAGGAAAAAATAAGGATAAACATTATACATGGTTAGTACTAATTCCATATCTATATAAATGTCTTAATTCTTTTATTTGCTTATGTGGTAAAAGTGTAACTCTAGAAAGCAATAATGATAATGATATCCATATGTTCAAAAATAAATGCTAAAATTCCTTTATAATGCAAAAAACAAGTATCTAAATATAAATAAATTATATTAAATTGAATTAAATAAATTGAATTAAAAATTAAAATGAAAGATTTTTTCCTAAAAGTTTGGGCAAAGATCATGGGTGAGCATTATACATGGCAAAATACAGTAAATTATTGACTTGACATTTTCTCAGAAGTAGAGAAGGTTAAAGAGGCAATAAGGAAAGCCACTCTAGATTTAACTAAGAGCCAAAAAGACAAAAGTGATAAGAATCATGGAAGAAAGTAATCATGTCATCTTAGAGTTCCCATTAGCAACTGAAGACAAATTGTTCATAAGGAAAACTGCAGGAAAGCACAAGATAGATATGAACATCCACACCCATATGCATCTGATGGGCAAAACCTCTGAGAAAGATAATATAGCTTAAGAAACAGAAAAAAATAAAATCTAGATTAAACTATTGCAAATAGTACCAATGAGAAAGGAAGGATGAGACAATTTAAAAAAGAAAACCAGTGTGAACTGTTAAGGCAGCATTCAGATCGAGTACATCCAAGGCGGCAGAAGAGTAAGTGGAAGCTACCACTAACCTCGTCCCAGGACCAATCTGCAATTACAAATAAATTGTAGAGAAGTCATCCTGGATAACCATCTGAACAATAGCTGGAGAGAAGCCTTATAACCACAGATAGATGGAAGAAAACACTTCACCACAATATGACTGGTACAGAGTGTGGAGCTGACGTGAGAGGGCTGGCCGGGTTCCCATGGCTGGCAGCTGAAGTGCCAGAAGAATATCTCAGTGGCTGGGGGTTTCCCTTTGAGAAATGTGGGGTCTAAACCCCAAGCTTGACTCTCTAGCCTATAGCACCAGAGCACAAAAGGAACCCAGAGAACCCAGAGAACATTCAGCTGTGAAAAGTGGAGGGCTTTCTGTCTGCCAAAGAGAGAGACAGAGAGCCTCCTTTTTTCTTCTTTTTTTAAAAGTATATTTTATTGATTGTGCTATTATAGTTCTCCCATTTTTTCTCCCCTTTATTCTCCTCCACCCTGTACCTCCCCTCCCACCATCATTCCCCCACCTTAGTTCATGTCCATGGGTCATACCTATAAGTTCTTTGGCTTCTCCATTTCCCATACTATTCTTAACCTCCCCCTGTCTATTTTGTGCCTACAATTTATGCTTCTTAGTTCCCTGTACCTTTTCCCCAATTCTCCCCCCTCCCCTTCCCTGCTGATAGCCTTCTATATAATCTCTATTTCTGTGAATCTGTTCCTGTTGTTCTAGTTGTTTGCTTAGTTCATTTTGTTTTTTTTAGGTTTGGTTGTTGATAGTTTTGAGTTTGTTGTCATTTTACTGTTCATATTTTTTATCATCTTATTTTTCTTAGATAAGTCCCTTTAACATTTCATATAATAAGAGCTTGGTGATGATGAACTCCTTTAACTTGACCTTATCTGGGAAGCACCTTATCTGCCCTTCAATTCTAAATGATAGCTTTGCTAGATAGAACAATCTTGGATGTAGGCTTTTGCCTTTCATGACTTCTAATTCTTCTTTTCAGCCCCTTCTTGCCTGCAAGATGTCTTTTGAGAAATCAGCTGATGGTCTTATGGGAACTCCTTTGGAGGTAACTCTTCTTTTTTCTTGCTGCTTTTAAGATTCTCTCCTTACCTTTAATCTTGGGTAATGTAATTATGATGTGCCTTTGTGTGTGCTTCCTTGGGTCCAACTTCTTTGGGACTCTCTGAGCTTCCTGGACTTCCTGGAAGTCTATTTCCTTTGCCAGATTGGGGAAGTTCTCTTTTGTGATTTTTTCAAGTAAGTTTTCAATTTCTTACTCTTCCTCTTCTTCTGCCACCCTGATGATTCAGATGTTGGAACGTTTATAGTTGTCCAAGAGGTTCCTAAGCCTCTCCTCATCTTTTTGAATTGTTTCTTCATTCAGTTCTGGTTGGTTGATTATTTCTTCCTTCTGCTCCAACTGTTGATTTGAGTCCCAGTTTCCTTCCCCTCACTGTTGGTTCCCTGTACATTTTTCTTTATTTCACTTTGTGTAGGCTTCACTCCTTCCTCTATTTTGTGACCATACTCAACCATTTTGGTAAGCATTATGATTCCCAGTCTTTTGAACTCTACATCTGATAGGTTGGCTATCTCTTCATTGCTTAGTTGCATTTTTTCTGGAGCTTTGATCTGTTCTTTCATTTGGGCCATATTTCTTTGTCTTGGCACACCTGTTATGTTGTAAGGGTCAGAGCCTTAGGTATTGGCCAGGGTGGGGCAACCCACTTGGTTATGTTGTAGTGCTGTATGTGGGGGGAGGGATCTGATAGGGAACAGTGCTGCTTGCTCAGCTCTTGCTGTCTTTCAGTCACTTCTCCCGATACACAAAAGCAAATTGGGCCCTTCTGGTACTGGTTCTCAGGTGGGTGGGTTTGTGTACATTCTAGGACCCTGTGGGTCTTTCCAATGAGCTCTCCTGTGAGGTTGGAAGTTTCTCCTGCCACCTCAACCCCCACAGGTTTTTTCAGTCAGAGGTTTTGAGGCTTATTTCCCCACGCTAGAACCCTAGGTTCCTCGGTCTGTCTCATTCCCTAGTTGTTCCT